CTGGGACACAAAGGTGGCCACGTTGGCGTACCAGGACTTGTTCCTAAACTTGAGCATGGCGGCCATGATGTGGTTGCGGCTGTGCATGGCGACGCAGAGGGCAAAGATCATCCCGCGCTCCTTCGGCTGGTAGCCACCAGTGAGGCGGAGGAACTTTTTGCGGTACGTCCAGGGGTTGGTCACGCCGAGCATCTCGAAGTCCTCAGGGCGCATGGAGCACAGCTCCGTGAAGTCGAACATCGATTTTATCTGCTCGATATAATTTTCCTTGTCCATGTTCAAGAGCACCGTTCTGAAAACAACGTGCGATCTATGAACTGATCATGTTTATAGACCTACTAAACCCCAAAGACATTGATGAAATGCGTCTAACCATTTCAATCCCATGTGCTAACAGGAATGGAGTGTCGAAGAGTCATCAGGAAAACCAGTCATAAAGCTCAATTTTGCTAAAAGCATAGACTAAAGCCGAAATCCTAATCATCACGATAAAGATGCATAGAACACTTTATATGCAGGGAAGGCGAATCATTTAGCCATAGCAGAGGAGTCGAAGATTCATGCGTGCTTTTGGTTTCAGTTAACAGACGAAAATGGTGAAGGCGAAACATGTACTATATAGTATGGCTTAGAATTCGCGCAAAATGCCGACATATGCTAAAGATTGATAACCACTCGCCAATCGGCATTTAATAAGGTTGTAATACTGATTATCATGTAGCCAATTATCAAGTAATTTCAGTTAAGATATGATGTTGGCTTTTAAACGAGCTTCTTTCTACCCACTAACCTACTGTAAAAAGTAGCTACTTAAGTAGTTTACATTTTTATCATTGATTTTGACTGCTTTTATAAATTAAAATATATTTCATGGAAAACGTACACGAAAATATTTTTCTTGTACTCGTTTGGTAGCAAATTGCGCCTTCTTTAAATGTTATACTTAAAAGGAAGATATCTTCCGGTTTTAAAAAAAATTCTAGATTGCCGAACAATTTTGAAACCTACTGACTGCTACACCTGAATTCAAGGCCTACAAACTGCGCGCTGTGTACATCCTGCCTAAGGAAAAGTGCAGTTTTGCCAACGGTTTAAGGGAGAAGTCACATAGCTCACACAAAATGTTGCAAAAGATGTAGAACAGGATGTTCAAACCATAGGCATTATCAATTAATTGACGGATAGGATGTATTCTGAATGACCAGCTCACCATCGTAAAAAAGTCGTAAGTATAATTTTTTCCTAAAACCGAAGGATACCCTTTGTTTAAGCATAAAATTTAAAGAAGACGTAATTTTCTACCAAACGAGTACAATAAAAAATTTCTTGTACGTTTTCCATCAAATATATTTTAATTTATAAAGGCAGTCAAAATGAATGATAAAGTGCATACTACTTAAGTAGCCACCTTTCACAGCAGGTACGTTTCGTTAGCGGGTAGGAAGAAGCTCATTAAAAAGCCAGAATTCTATCGTTACTGAAATGACTGGAGAATAGGCTACACGGTAATCAGTATTACAACCTTACTCAATGCCGATTATCGAGTGGGTGTAAATCTTTCACGAGTGTCAGCGTGTTACATGAATTTTAGTTTGGAAAAACAACACCATAAGCATGCAGAAGGACACGAAGTTGCAGTTCTTCTTTGATTAAACAAGTAGAACATTTAGCGTGAATGAAGAAAAGGCCCAGTTGACATTAGGACGCAGTTTTATTATCAGAGACCCACATTAAGCTTACTAAGCGATTTGTGTTAGTAGACGCGTCTGAATCTATCAGTCAATGCAGGCCATTCCAGCTGTTCGAGTAGTTTATTGGCTGTTATCATTAATTCCTCAGAGCAGTTTGAGCGATAGAGTTTGAACATTTATGGGCCACTTCTGTTCGCTCGTGTCATAATCCACAAGTAACCATTTTCAGACTGAGAAGCTGTGGATTTTTCCACACTTGCGCGAAAAAAGTTTCTAACTGTCAAGTGGCATTTCAAGTGGACTGCACTTATACCGAAGGAGTCTTATTCAAGGTAGAAGGCGATACTTTAACCACACGGAGGAGGGTTGTACTTTAAAGACAGTTCGAGAACATGTTTAACCGCATCGTCAAGTGTGAAAGGAATATGCAAATTTACTGCCTATCCATGCAGAACTAATCCATTCAGTGGTAAGGACAGCTTATAAGTAGCATCATAGTAGTACATAAGCCCAAGAATCTGTAATATGCTAATTATGGGAATGAAGAAATTACTTATTTTGCATGTGGCGATAGCAAATAAAAATAAACACTTGGTCTAATGTGGTCGATTCGTTACAACTACTGAAAAATAAGTGAAAACTATATACGTAGTAGATATCGCGTTCATCGTCTCCCAAATAAGAAGAAGAGGAAGCGGGTTCGCGGAATAAAGTATATTTGAACTGAAGTTTCGGAACTCTTGTCGCTTCCATCATCAGTCTATTGTAGTTGCTGCATCTGGTGGTCTTGGTTTAGCTAGTCTTGCAGTCTGTCTCGTACAACTACGGCCTCGCCTACACCTACTTTGACCCAAAAGGGGACAAAGGTCACGCAAGCCCGCCAGCCACCAGTCTCCGGGAGACCAAATGAAGTCGGCAACAGGGGAGCAGGTCGAAGTTTGCGCGTCCAGCACGCGTATAATACGAGGCGGACGGTAGGACTAGCTAATTCAAGGCCATGAGACGCAGCGACTACAACATTCTGATGATGGAAGCGAGAGGGGTTCAGAAACGTCAGTTCAAATATATGTTGGCCCACGAACCCGCCCCCGCCCCTCTTCTTCTTCTACTGCTGTGGGAGACAATAAACGCGATGACATATCTGGGCCCCGAAACTTTACGCATACATATTAGATATATAGATACTTAGATTTTGTATGAATTTGAAAATTAGCATCCCAAGAAATGTAGTTTGGTAGAAGAAATTCTTTGGGAAACGTGAACAAACTTTAGTGTAAATTTTCGACTCCGGTATACCAGGTTGTCGTCGCCGGACGTGCGGGTAATGTGTATAGAACAGTGCGCATTTTTAAGCATCCCGAAAAATCAATAATGCAACGGAAACATTGTATTCATAAAGAAGCTTTTTATTAGTTAAATAGTTTGGTTCCCATTGAAATATATTGTGAATGCATAACCTTTCATCCTACCACCGTTCCCGTAATACATAACTCTGGGGTTTAGGCTTGCCTTGGTGATCTTTATAATCTATCCTTACCCAGTTGGTTTATTAGATGACTTGAGGTCAGTACGGGAGTCTAGGAGGGTGCCCATCGCGTGGTACTGAGTGAGTGCTGCAACGTATTTTGCGCAGTCTTACTCCGAATCACACAAAGAGTTGTACGACGGATTTCAGGAAAGGTAGTTTAAGTAGTACACCTCATATACCCCGAGTCCCAGCATGTTGTCCTACGGAAACGGTGGTTTTGGGGGTGGGGAAATAGGATAGGCGGTGGAGAAAATGTTTGTAGAAGTAAGATTAAAATTGAAAAATGTTGTTGAACTTGTTTCCCGCGGCCGCTGGTAGCAAGGTTTTTCGCATGTAAATTGAAGGTGCGCGCGGCGTTTCGCACCGCGGACCATACTAATCTAACTCCAGAACGGTAAGTTGGACCTCAGTTTAGTTGAAGTAGACGACCTCCTAACATCCGTTTCTAGTTATTTTCAGGAATTTCAGGAAACCTGCACTTTGATGATCGGGGTTTTCCGTAATATGTTAAACGATAATACATATTAGGTAAGGCTACAGATGCGAGCAGATATTCTTAAATACAATAAAAATGCGCATAGCTACTATTAAATTACATTCCACTGGCTATCCTAATTC